TTTTGTGGGAACACAAAGCATCAGGCTTGACCAGACCCGGCTCCTTCACCGGAACTTGATGGTGCCTGGTTGGGGATCTACCTTTTCCTTCTGTGCAGTGGCCATAGCACGTCTGTCTGACAAAGCGGATACTGAGCGAGCAGCATGCGGATCGCTTGCTGCTCGTAAAGCCGCACTATACGGCTGCTTCACGGTCGGAAGTTGTTACAGCCGTACTTTAGTGCCCCGTACTGAGCAATACATCTTCCCACAAAACTGAATGTCAGCCACATAAGAAAAACTCTTACTCTGAGCATCACAATAAATAATGTTTCAGTTGATATTAGCCGTTATTCATCTTCCCCCAGTATAGTGAGGAAATGACTCAACTAATAAATTGGAACTTTCGAATAACTACTTTGAAAATCCGTAACAACTGATACTTCTGTCATCTTGTTATTTGTCAGTAACTTCTAGATAAACATTAATCCGATATTTTACTTTAATTCACTTCTTTGTTTGTTGTTGTTGTTTCTTAATTTCACGCAAAGCTACACGAGGGCTATCTGTGCTAGCCGTCCCCAATTTAGCAGAGATAGACTAGAGGGAAGACAGCTAGTCAACACCACTCACCGCCAACTCTTGGGCTACTCTTTTGCCCAATTATAGCGCCCCCACAGTTGAAAGGACGAGCATGTTCAGTGATGGGAGTTCGATAGCCCGAACCACCAGGCCATGCCCCGGCCTCTTTATTCACTTAGCAGCGGAAAACGAATGAAGTCACTTTTAATTGTTCCTCTTTCATTAAAATTGTATCTAAAGCACTTTAGATACAAAACTACAAGTTGATTATAGAGAAAAATCCATATTTAAAATGGTTATACCTTTAAAAAAAAATACGAGATTGGTGACTTGAATAAAATGCGTGTCAGTGTGCAGGATATTTAGGGACAGACTTGACAAACTAATTGAGAATAATGGAAAGCACACAGGGCACTAACTTGACAGTTTTCGGAACACCCTGTACCGTGTCTAAATTTTCCTGAATAACATTCATGATTCTTAATGCGCCTCTCATAAATTTTAATTTACTCAGGACAAGTAGTTTTAAAGATAAAATTGTCTTAAATATGTTGCCTTCTAAAAAATATGTTGCCTTCTATACCCACAGTGGATATATAGCAGATATTCCACTGTATAGCTTTGTACATAAAGAGAAGAACGTTTTCTATAATCATAATCACATATACATCACAATGTTAATAGCAGGAGACTTACAAAATGGCTGACACATAATTATATGTTACGATATAAAATGAACAATGCTTACCAACATATTACAATTGTGTGTATGTCAGTCAGGTTCTACTGAGCTAACCGGGTTCTGATAAAATTCTTGTCTGTTCTTAGAAAAGCGTTTCTTGCATTTCTGTTAAATTAATATCTTTTCCGATATGTTTTTCTACAAAAAACAGTTTTATCGTCTGTATATTGAGCGGTGCCTTGTGAAGCTTAACGTTTGCATTAGCGAGTGTTTATATTGCTCTAGCAAATTGATGTTTTACACGGATATGCGATCATTTCCCAGAGCTGTCGCTATACATGCTTTGCTGGCCCGTCCATTTTTAAAGAAAGATACAGGGTTGCCTACTAAATTCAGTCCCCCCATAAAGAACAAGTAGTTTTTAGATATAACAATTTGAAATAATTTTTTTATAATCAAAGTGTAGATCATTTAGGGCTGGCAACAAATAAAAAAAACAAAAAAAACTCCGGAAACGGCAAGTATCGCTCTCCTGGTGTTCATACACAAAGTTTTGTACGGTATTAAGTTCATTCAGATCAGAATATTTATAATCTAACATAAACTATATTTGAAACACCAGTGAACATGATTTTCCTTTACGCCCCTGCAACGACAAAGTAGCTTCACATGATTCACTTGGGCCGAACGTGGCCTATTGATTAGCGTGCCCTAACTGCGAATCTAATGATTCGTGTTTCGCGAGTCGTTGCCACAATCTGTAATTTGTGGCCGGGGGGTGCATAATCAGAAATCCACAACTCGATCAGAAAAGAGTAGCCCAAGAGTTGGTGGTGGGTGCTGTTAACTAGCTCCTTTTCCTTTGGAGTCTAGTCTATCAGTTCAAAACTAAGTACAGCTGGGCGCAGATAGCCCTTGAATTACGCTTACCTATTTGAAAATATTTCTTAGTGAATTCGTATATTTCTATTAAACAAATGAGTATAAATCAGTGTGTTGTAAACGGCGTAAGTAAGCATTACTAAGTACATTTAAATAATGTACACGATTAGTAATAGTCTATATATTTGTTTTGAATTTCGCGCAAAGCTACACGAGGGCTATCTGCGCTAGCCGTCCCTAATTTAGCAGTGTAAGACTAGAGGGAAAGCAGCTAGTCATCACCACCCACGGCCAACTAACTCTTGGGCTACTCTTTTACCAACGAATGGTGAGATTGACCGTCACATTATAACGCCCCCACAGCTGAAAGAGCAAGCATGTTTGGTGGGACGGGGATTCGAACCCGCGACCCGCAGATTGCGAGTCGAGAGCCCTAACCACCTGGCCATGCCGGGCCCGGTAATAGTCTGACATAAGCGTTAAGTTTGATTTACAAAAGTTAAAGTAGTGGTCCTAGAAAAAAAGAAAAACATCTCTTAAAGTTATGAGTGTGAACAAAAAAGACAACCAAGAGCAACTGTTAAAACTTTAAAAAATCTTTCATTATTTACAGACGAGGTTTAGAAGTTCTTTAAATGTGTCGTAGAAAGAATTTGGACATTTTTTTTTACAGAATGTATTAATTTCACCATCTTAACTTCGGGCATCTAAATAAAGAAGTTGTATATCTTCAATTAGAATTTAGATATTGTGGTCTAAAAGAAAATTTATTCACATAATATAACTCCATATATTCTAATAGTTTAATCTTAATTGAAGAACGTAGTATATCTATACCAGATAAGTAGTCCTAAAACGTACTTTTGAATTGGTTTGTTTGTTATGAATTTTGCGCAAAGCTACACGAGAGCTATCTGCGCTAGCCATCCCTAATTTAGCTGTGTAAGACTAGAGGGAAGGCAGCTTAGTCATCACCACCCACCGCCAACTCTAGGGCTACTCTTTTACTAACGAATAGTGGGATTGACCAACACATTATAACGCACCAACATCTGAAAGGGCGATCACGTTTGGTGTGACGGGGATTCGAACCCGCGACCTACAGATTGTGAGTCGAGCGCCCTAATCATCTGGCCATGCCGGGCCTCTTTTGAATTGGAAAATTAATAAAACCTCATAGACAATAAAACATGAACATTTGGCTATTTTTGTTGCTCTGTCATGTTATTTTACCTCGAGAGTTTTGTGTTAATTAATGTTTGAATAAACCTAAAACCGTTGGCTCGTTGAACGAGGGTAAAAAAAAAAATAATACATAAAAATATATAGCTATCTCAGCATTTAATATAATGATAGTTACTAGCATTCATATCCCTTCCTCTCCCGGTGGCTCAATGGTTACTTTGGTGGTTTATAGCATTGAAATTCTGGGTTCGATTCCAGCGTTGGGCATAGCGCAGCTGTCGCATATTATAGCTTTGCGCTTAAAAAATAAAATAATCTATCGATAAATTTAACTTATAATAATTACTAACTTCTGTATAAAAAAACAAAAACTATCAACAACGTTGCTGATATAAAAACAGTTACAAATCGACATTTCTGTTAATGTGGTTTCTTTTTAGCGTTTATCAAAGTCGATTTAAAATGAAGATCATCAGTATAGCATTGTCATCCGGTGGGTTAGCGGTAAGTCTACAGACTTACAAAGCTAAAAACCGGGTTTTGATTCCCCGCGGTGTACAGACTACTGATAGCCCATTGTGTAGATTTGCACTAAGAAAACAACAACAGTATAATATGTTTAATTACATTCTCCTTGAAATGGCACAGAAGTATAAACGTATTAGTTTAAAACCAATTCTTAGCAGGATTCTCTTTGAAATGGCACAGAAGTATAAACGTATTAGTTTAAAACCAAGTCTTAGAACGATTCTCTTTGAAATGGCACAGAAGTATAAACGTATTAGTTTAAAACCAAGTCTTAGCTGGAACATGATATTTAGATTTGGGCCTAATCTGGATAGACTAGAGGAAAGCAGTTAGTCAACAGCACTCTCCGCCAACTCTTGGACTACTCTAGTTGAATAGTGGGATTTGACTGTCATTCGTATAACGCACCCATGGCCCCAAACTGAGAAGTGCGATTCACAGTTCGACACGGAAATTAATGGGCCAATAAGCCCGGCCCAAGTTGAATGGGAGAAAAGTAGAGGCAGTATTGGAGGTCTTAAAAATTACGTTTCATTGAAAACTAGAATAAAAAATATTAATTAGAAAAAAAATTAAGTAAAATGGCCAAAGCGTAATAAAATCTAAAAAGTAATTATTGAATTATGTGAAAATTGCAGAAATACATTACAGACCAGATTTATGTTCTAAATGTTGTCGACCTGGTCAATACATTTAGTATTTTCAAAGATAAGAAATGTTTCAAGCTAAACCATGGAAGAATAAGCTAACCAATCCTCCATTTTTATGTGCTCTTCTGCGCTTTCAAATATCACATTAGATCTCTTTTTTCCAGAATATTTTTTTCTTCCACAGTGAACAGAAATTCTAAGTATAATTACATACTGTTTAATATTGGCCATCAATATTTTTGATAATGGTATTTATTTAAAACAATTACTAACATAAGATATTACATTGCCCCCCAGTGGCACAGCGGTATGTCTGCAGACTTAGACGCTAGAAACCGGGTTTCGATACCCGTGGTGGGCAGAGCACAGATAGCCCATGTGCTTAATTCCAAACAAACAAGATATTATAATTATTTCCAAATCGAGATAAAAATATAATGATAGTGATCGAAACGTGTTTTAATTATTAACAGAGACTTAACTTATACCATAGATAATTCTTTATGGCATACCTTTATGTTTAGGCAAGGGGGCGCTTTTATCCTTATCTCCTTTTTCTACAGGTTCAGGAAACACGACTGCCGTATCATTTCTTTGCATGTATTCTTGAATCTTCTCCTCCTCAGATTTCACGTCTTCTCCCTCGTCCCGCTCTTCCTCTCTGTCGCCACCATGGAATATCGATTCTTCGTTTTCTGGCCATTCTTGTGTATCCTGGCAACTGTGGCCGTTCACTAAGGTAGGAGGTTTATCTTCCATACCTGCTGCAACGTTTTGGCTCTCTTCCTCACTCCGGTAAACCCCTGCTGTCATGGTGTGAAGAGTATGCCCACTGTTTCTCGTCACTGCTATTTCCTCTTCTTTCCCACCTAACGAAGAATTTGTTTCACTTACAATTTCACTAAATTCCTCTGTTCTTTTTTCGCTCTTTTCAGTAGATTTATTTTCAACCTCTTTTATATCCTTCACCGGCAGTTCCAGGATAGACGATTGAGAATACTTGGAATTTACAATTAATGAAGGCCCCAGGTGGTTCTGTTCAGCATTATCTGGCAAGATGTCAGTTTCTACTGTAATAAAAAAAAGGAGGGACTTTGGTACAAATCTATCCTCAACAGTAGGACTTATAAACGATTAACCTGTAAGTTTTATACTAAAATACAATAAAATTTAACGTAAAAGGTTTATACTAAAAATGCTATAAAATATTAAAGTATAGGTTTATACTAAAAATGCTATAAAATATTAAAGTATAGGTTTTATACTAAAAATGCTATAAAATATTAAAGTAGAGGTTTTATACTAAGAATGCTATAAAATATTAAAGTATAGGTTTTATACTAAAAATGCTATCAAATATTAAAGTATAAGTTTTATACTAAAAATGCTATAAAATATTAAAGTAGAGGTTTTATACTAAAAATGCTATAAAATATTAAAGTATAGGTTTTATACTAAACATACTATAAAATATTAAAGTATAGGTTTTATACTAAAAACACTATAAAATATTAAAGTATAGGTTTTATACCAAAAATGCTATAAAATATT